AAGAGAAAGCATTTTTCTGGCGATCTCATAAAGATCAAACCTCTACACAAAGATTGCTTTTAAGGCTGTAACCCACGTGTGCTGTTGGTGAATAATAATCGGGTGATGCCCCAAAGCATCATGTGATTGCAGCACCATGGACAGAAACCAAACAGGACGGAAAAAGTGGGAGGCTTTCATCAAGTAAAAAACAAAAATACAACCTCCAAACCGCTCACCTTCTTTGGATCTTTTCTTCCGGACCAAGGTGCCGCCCAGCTTCCCGAGAAAGGACTCGTCCTTTTTCATTTTGCCAGACTGGAGGGTCGTGGATGCGCTGGGAGTCCCGGACATGTTTGAGAGGCTGCCCCGGTGCGCGTTCACGCTCCTCCGGCCGCTCGTCTGCGCGCTCCTCCCCTGCGCTGCGTTCAGGTACCGGAGGACGATCCAACACACGTCCCGGACGCACGAATACAGGCGGACCGAGAGGCTTTATATTAGGAGAAGGGCGGTGACTTCCATCAGTTTCGTGCACAGCGCCACCCACAGGCGTGTCAGGCACCACCCATCCCTGTCAGGGACACACCAGATCACACCCACCTGGCAAATCATCTATCTGAACGACAAAACACATGAAGAATTGATGACACACAAGAGGCAAAAGTTCCATACAAACTGTGTGGATATGCAAAAATGACAGAAATTTAATCAAAATGACCCCAAAGAGTCACAAAATGACACGTAATGTGACAAGACAAAATAAGCCACTAAAAGAAACACAACTGTCGAAATTTGAGAGACCCAGATGTCAAGCTGTCTGGATGAGAAACAACAACAATGTGACCATTGTCAAGAAGTCACAACTAAACGTGTTAGCTGATGTGGCAGATGGAGCAACCAATAACAAACAGAATCAGATGCCTGTGGCACACACATCAGCAGGGTAATCCTCTGGAGACATCAAACTACTTCTGATGTGCTCTGTGGTTTGCGGTGACTCTGCATCTTTTCCCATCCAGGTGAATGGGCATCATATTATGTACAACATGTAATGAAAATGTCCCCCAACGCCTGATTTATTGCCACAAATGCACATTTCAGTTCTTGATAACATGTTAAAAAGGTTGATTTATTAGCATAAAATGATCCTATTTGGATGTGAATAATTTAAGTGTTAAATTTTGCAAACAAACTCTGAGTCCTGAGTTTACAAACGACACATAAACACATAAGTTAGACACAGAAGGAAAAGGGAAGATAAATATACATGAGTTAGACATCTGATTAAATAAACAGCTTCAACATTCAGGAAAATGTTTCATATGTTTTATTTTATTTCAAATAAAATCCATGCAGGAATGAGTTATTGAATGGATCAGCAATGACCAGCATATGTTGAAAATACCTCTTAAAATGATTAGGAATGATAGGTTAAAAGAGGCATTTTTTACTTAAAATAAAATCAAGATTATTCTGTTGTTCATTGTCATTTACAGTTTCATACAAAATTCAGACATCACAAGTCATCAAAGTATCATTTTATTTTATTTTTAAAAAAGCATGTAGCCTTCAGAAGCTCTGGCAGACCAAAAAAAGCTGACAATATTTACAGAGCTACGTGGAGAGCTCATCACGCTTCAGCGCTCATCTGCTCTTCCGCTTCCTGCCTCTGCTTTAAGAGACAGACTTTGTTATTTTCAGCTCTGCGATTGTCTGATTTTCATACTGAAAAGATGCTGTGCTTTCACCTGTGTTCTGCAGGAGACTCCAGTCGGACTGCAGCCTGCTTCTTAGTGTCTCCACGGCCTCCACATCCTCTGGGAGGGGGGCCTGAAGAGGATGCTCCAGAGGAGGTGCCGGGTCACCGAGGAGGGTGGAAGCTGTGGGGCCCACGCGTGCCTGCTCACCCTCCTGAAGTGTTACAGAAAAACAAAAAAAAGGTGGTCAGTCTTTCTGAAATAAAAGTGGTTTTGGAATTCCTGGAACCCAGCCCTCTTACCTGCATCAGCACCAACACGTGTCCTTGTGCGAAACCCTGCAGCACGCCCACGAGCTGCTGCCACACTCCGCCACACACTCCGGCGTTTGGCATCTGAACCAGCAGGACCAGATCTGGATTGTACTGGTAACCGAGAGGTAAGAGGAGGCCGAGCAAAGCCTGCATGAACCCCGACGCGTCACCGCAGCCCTGTGGGAGGACACAAACGTGCACGAGAGAGAGAGAGAATAACTACGATAACATTAGCTAAATCCCTAAATCCAATCATTAATAGGAAATTAAACTTTGTCCATTGATCAGAGGAAAGTGACCAAAGTGATTGAATCTCCCCACATAAAGTACCTTCTTTAAGTGCACAGGAACGTAAAATTTGCCCGTTGGCTTCTCTGTGTCCTCGCTGCTGATCTGCACCGTAAGAGTTTTCCTGGGAGCAGAACAAGTTTGTTAGCATTTGTTTTCGCTATCGTGCACGAACTGGGATTTTCCACATTTTATGATATATATATATCCACAATATGATATTTACCCATCTTCTCTGGCGTGACTGCCAACACTCCCACCGCCGACACACACAACCAAAGTCCTGCAAAAGAAAAAAAGATCACCAATTAGCTGTGGTCAGTCATAACATTCCTCCTCATTTTCAAGACCAAAAAGTAGAAAAAGTAAAGTAGAAAAATACTATCAAATAAATCATCACCTCCCAAATGATCTAATGAATATAATGCACAGTACATCAGAAATCTGTCTAAAGAATATGACCCACTGTGTATAAGTTTTGCTTCAATTCGAATATATCTTTTTATACCGACTGCTGGGAGCATCCCCCACATGCTGGAGGACACACATCATCGCCATGGTGACGCTATGGACCACTGCCAAGCCGTTGCGGATCTGAGAGGAGGAAACTAATTACCAGCCTGCAGCTCAGATCAGCAGATCAGCAGATCGGCCATCACAAGGCCAGACCAACAGACTGCATCCAGGCCTTACCTCATTCTTCTCCATTTTCTCTACCAGGGTCATAAGGCTCGGGAGGGAGGCAAGAGCACTGCAGTTGTCTAATTCTGACTGGAAATGTTCTCTAAGAAAAAAAAAAGTAAGGAAATAACTTTAGTTTGGAGTGGGAAACAGAGTAAAAGTGGACGTTGTCAGTGGTAGTAATTCCCACCTCAGCTTGGTGAGCATCAGTGGATGGAGCTCCTCTCTGGAGCTGATCTGCTCACACCCATCTGGAGGAGCCTCTCCACCCGGCAGCACCAGAGCACAGCGAACCGGGGGAGAGACTCTCTGTGGGGGCTCGGGCCAAGCTTGTTCCTCTGCGCTTTTCTCCTCCTCTCCCACTTCCGTCCTTTCCCCTTCTCCTCCTGCTGACCTAATGCGCTTGGCGCTGACATGGGAGTCGGGCAGACCAGCTGGAGGAAGATCCAACTTCATGAGGCGCCGAGCATAAATGTCAGTCGGAAATAATCAAGCTAACGTAAACCACAGAGTACCTTTAGCAGTTACAGTGTCAGCTCATTGTGCATGATTTAAATATATAACATGAGTGAGTGTTAAAGCTGCACTGTGGCTTTGTGGGTTCCGCACCTGCTTGTCTGAGGCAGGACCAGTACTGCCTGTGAGCCGATCGGACGCACTGAAGAGACTCTAAAGCACTGAAAGAGAGCAACAAAAACCACTTAGCTCAAAAGACTCGCGGAGTGAAGCTCGAATGAGAGCGTGGCACACCTTTCGCAGGGAGCGCCGAGATCTGAGAGCCGGGTCGGGGGATCTCCAAGCAGAGTCTGAACTGTTTGACACACAGACTGGGGGAGGGAGGTCAAGTTGTATCCTCCCTGCAAAAAGACACAAGCTTTTAGGATTTAATGCTCCTTCAACGTGACAAATTGTTTAATTGGCTACAAGTGCTATGAAGCGAATGCTTGCAGAGAAAACACAGCATCATGGAATCTATGTAACACAAACACAGAATCTAAACAAGGCACCTCACCAGGTTGGATGATAACATCTGAAAACTTTTATGAAATATTTGATGTACGTATTCATTTAAGGCCCTGACCTCCAGCACGGCACAAAGTTTCCCTCCGGCTAGGTTCATCAGGAGGTGAGTTAGGTGGGCAAAGATGTCCGGAGAGGCGCACATTTCCCCCTGAGAGCAGAGAAAAGAAATCAGCTCTCCATGCAAAGTCTCAGGAAAAGGTTCTAGAAAATGTACTGGAGGCCAACTGAAGAGTGAGGTAGATTTGAAATTAGTCTCCAATAAAAATACATTTTAAACAAGAAAGAAATCAACCAAATGTGCCAAATGGCTGGGATTATATTTGGTACCTCTGGGTCACCGATGGCCGAGTCAAAACCCGCACACACCAAAACCAGCTCTGGGCAAAACTGTGAAGAAATAAAAAGGTATCAAATCCAATGCCAAGATAAAAAGCGGTCCATAACCTCCTTTAATATTTACAAAACATGACTGAAACCGGGCTCACCTCGTAGGCAACTGGCAGGAGAAGGTGAAAGAACACTGAGAGGTAGTCACTGTTTTTCATTCCTACCTGAAACATCATTAAAAGGCCCTCATGTAAATGTATAGAAGTAGATTTACTGTAACATACATACTAGATTATGTTTCATCAGCTTTCACTGCAAAGGCAAACGACTACAAGAGCATCTGATAAACGACAGATTCATGTGTAAAGCTAGCCTGTGTCTGTTTACCTTGTTCCAGGGTACATTTATATTGAACCCAGCCCCGTCCTCTTTGCCAACATTGTCATAGTCTGACTCCCGCAGGTTGGGCCAGAATTTCTGATGCTCATAGCGGTGCCACGAAAAGTAGAGGACACTAGACAAGGAGAATGGGGAGGAGAAGAATGCTAAGTGACAACCATAATTCACTTAAAGCTGGTTCCCTCCCAAATGACTCACCTCGGATCGTCTTCAAAGCAGTACTGCACCCCTTGACCGTGATGTACGTCCCAGTCTACAATCAGGACCCTAAAAACAATTCTGTGTGCAAATATGAGGTTGCCTCTGGAAAATGGAAATCCCAAATGTCTCAATGAAACCAAAGCCGACGGTGGAAGTGGCGCTACCTTTTAACTCCATATTTCTGCTTTGCATATCGAGCTGCTATGGCCACGTTGTTGAACACGCAGAAGCCGCTGGCAGCACTGCGCATACTGTGGTGTCCTGGAGGTCTGAAAGCATTCACATGTAACAGTCAGTATTCGTAGTATATAGTAGAATACAGTAATGTAATTGATATCAGTCAGGGGATCACCGTGATCATTATCATCTCACCTGACCAGAGCCATGCCGTTCCTCACCTTCCCGGTCATTACACTGTCACACAGTTGCAATGCAGATCCCACAGCCAGTTTGGCACAGTGGTAGATGTTCTAGAAAAAGTCGATAAATTGCAGTTAAAGCGAGTACCTTCACCTGAGAGTCAATTCTGGGCGGATGTCAGACACAGATGTGGGATGTGATACTAACTGGGTGGAAGTAGACGTCCCCATACTGAAGGGTGAATTCCTTCAAGTCTTCTAGAGTCATATAAGGAGTCTTTTTCACGCCCTCCAGGTATTCCTCACTGTTGGATGTGAAGGATCACAGTTGAGCACTGGTCACGAATGAATGGAATTCAATGAATAAATTCAAAAGATAAAGCATGACCTGTGAACCAGCAGAATCTCTGCCTCTGTTGCCTCGCGAGCAGGAATGGAGACGCAGCGTTGACAGAGGCCATTCTTGACCAAAGCCTCATAACTCACAGTCAGACGCTCAGGCACCTCAATCTTACATGCAGGGCTGTAGACAAACACTTTATAAGTCTTGGATTCTAAACATGAGTATAACATTTCAAAATTGTATATGAGTTCATTAACTGTTTATTCAATTTTTTATGTAGCTATTGTTAATCCATTTCATGGGAAAATATAAAAATTTCCCAAAAAATAAACAGAGGAGATTATTCATTAAATAGATTTATAATAAGCCAATAATCTTGAGAGCACACCAAAGAAAATCTTTAAAGCTGGACTGATATTGCTTTAAAACTTTGGCATAACCCAATCCCCTACAGGGTTACAGCACCTAATGCTTTGGGTAACTTTCTCACAACATCAACCGTGATTCATTCCAGCAGTATGACCGGCGTGAATACAGGGCAGTTAGCATTTCAGCTAAAACCGCAGTGTATCTGGTTAACTGTCCGTGTAAGCAACATTAAAACCAAATAATAAGTTCCGGCCACAGATTTCGGTTATACACTTCCTCCGTTTGGATTTTGCATTTATACAAGGACTGTTTGGAATATAGAAATTCTAGCATTGGTAATGCCAGTTCCAGCTATAATACATTAACAGGTTAGTTAAATAGCTTTTTGAGAGTTACCTTTTCTGTGTTTCGAGAGGATGAATAAAAACAGGTCAGTGCAGCTAACATGTAGCCCCATTAAACGACCATGTAGAATTTATGTATTTTTTGTACTTACTCAACCCAGAGCAGTTTGTATTTGGTCATTTCTTCGTCGTAAACCAGAGCTGTTCCCATCTTTATTATTTCAGGACAAACGTTTGCAGGCGTCCACACATAAAGCCAATCCCGTTAAGTAGTTTTTCTTTGTATCCGACTATAACTACCTGATTTTAAAACATCAACAGACCATACATGTTTGGTCCAAGGCTGACTTCCTGCAAATGCATAATAAGACAAAGTAATTTCTGAAGTAATTTGCCACCATGTGAAAGACGTGCACAGTAGGAGCCAAGTCCATTTGAGTTGTACACACGGAGGTTGTCAAACAAGTTTTTTGATGCAAGAGTGCCATCTGTTGGACGGAGTCTGGTACTGATTTTAAGGATTTTTATTTGGACGTTTTGATGCCTCATGATCTCTGTTTGCTGGCAACTATTTGCCAAATTCCTTTACAAACATCTTCTGGTCGCTGAATTTCTACACTTTTTCATCATTCACCATTCAAATCAGACATTAAACCTGATCATATTAGTCATTTAATTAGCTGACTGATTCCTCTACCTCCCTGGTTTCTTTTGTCAGTTACCTGTGCAATACAATCTTTTACTCAAAAGATTGTATTGTTTTTTTTTCACAACAGTTTTTTCATAATTCTCATCATTGCAAATGTACACTTTCTTTGTTATAATTCAAATGGTTGCCAGTTGACAACTTAATTCCACCTAATTATCTTTTTTTCTGGTAAATTTATCTCTGTTTTCTTTATGTAAGCTGTACTTAGCTGGCAATTTATTTGGAGCATCTAGGTAAGATAAATGTTATTTTTCACAAATGTAGTCCTTGGGGCGATGAGGGACTATTTTGTGTGGAGTTTGCTCACACAAAGCTACATGTTATAACTTGATACAAATAAGTTTTACTGAGGTGTAGATAAGGACAAATACATTTAAAAAACAATTAGAAGACTAAAAGGTAAGGGATTTTATTTTATTCAGATAATTGATTAACAACCTAAGAAAACAGTGTCATACAAACAAATAAAACTTACTATATAAAGAATGCTAAATGTATCATATTACATGAGATGCTCTAGTCTGAAAACGGAGGATTTCCTGGATGCAGTTTTTTTTTCTCTGTGGGAAATGTAGAGAAAGTAGTGAGTCTAGATTTTTTGTTGGAAATATTTTGCTGAGAATAAGCATAGGTCACGTAAAAGTTCAGCCGTTTTTTTCTGCTGGGAAACATTACACAGCACCAGGTCACATTTCATTGCACAAAGCTTGTCTATTTGAACTTCTTTTGACCTCATGTGGCCTCTTCTTCCATCGCTTCCCCGACCCACTCCCCCCCAGTCTCAGTTTTGTCTTCCGTTTCCTCCTGTGTCCTCGTGGGAAAAGCGGAGCTCCTTTCCCTTTTCTCATCCTCCTCATCCTCCCCGTCTCCTCCTGCTCCCTCTGCCCCTCCTCTGCTCCTGCTGCAGCAGACCAGGAGAGCTCCTCTGCATCTGTTCCTGAACGAGGGGTCGCAGGCGGCGTAGAGAAGAGGGTTCAGGCAGGAGTTCAGGTACGCTAAGCAGGTGACGTACGGGTGAGCGGCGAGCAGGGTCTGGTCCAGAGAGCACGAATACGGGACAAAGCCGAACTCCAGCAGCATGGACACCGTTTTGTTGACGTGCAGAGGCAGCCAGCACAGGAAAAAAGCCAGCACTAAAATCACGATGACCCTGAGGAGCCTCCGCTGGCGCCTCCGGTCAGGACGAGGGCCCCGGCCGAAATGCCTGCTAAGCAGCTTGGCCAGCGAGCCGTAGCAGACCAGTAAGACGATAAGGGGAAGCATGAAGCCGATTAGAGTAGATTTGAAACTCAGGGCGGCGGCCCACATCATTTCCGCTCTTTCTTTTTCAGCCTCCTCCAGCTCTGCCCCAATCAACATGGAATAATCCATTTGACAGGAAAGGATGACCGTTTTGGGATCCGCAGATTCCAGATGCCAGTTGTCCTCAGACTCCGGGTCGAGCTCCACCTCCCTGACGGAGCGCAGCAACAAGCCTGGAAGGGCCAGGACTCCCGCCACTGACCACACCCCTCCGAGCACCCAGAGGGACCTGCCGGAGCAGCCCCGCGGGGGGTGGTGGCCGGAGCGCCGGCGTCCGTTCAGAACCCAGTAGCGCTCCACACTGAGCATGCTCAGACTGAACACGCTGGCGTACATGTTGAGGGCCGTGAGGAAGCTGCTGATCTGGCAAAGAGGTTGCCCAAAAGGCCAGTGGTAGCCCATGGCTGTGTAGGTGGCCCACAGCGGGAGGGTGACGAGGAAGCAGAGGTCAGCTAACGCCAAACTGGCTATCAAAGAGTCTGTCAGCGAGCGAGAGGAACGAGGGATCGAAGGAGGATTGGAGGCGGAGGGATGAGAGTGGGGCCTGTAGTTTTGTCCTGCCGAGCCGCAGTTTTTTTTGTCTGTCCGAGGAAAAGACTCACGGTGAGCTCTGCCAGCACCGAGAACCTGCTTCTTGCTCTTCTTCAAAGGGCACAGTCCGGTTCTGCGCTTGTCACTCGCTCCCTTTCTCCCCTCGGCTCGGTCCAGGTAGGCCCAGAGCACCAGGCTGTTGCCCAGGCAACCAACGAGGAAAGCCAGCAGGTAAACGGACGGGATAATGGAGAAGGAGGGAGACCAGTCGCTGTAGTCGCAGAGGAAGAGGGGTGGAGGAGTAGGGGTGGGGACGGTGAAGAAGGCTGTGTCTGACATCAGTCCGCTTTTACATCAAACTCTTTCACTTCAATGTGTGGACGTGGAAAACAGCAGCAGCCTCAACTGTTTCAGACAGATCAGGTTCAAATTCCAAGCGTGCATCTGCCTCCTGCTCACTCTCTCTGCATTTTGACTTGGACGATCTGAAAAAGTAAAAGAGGTCGTACAGTTTCAGCAACAATCCGAAGTTCTTCTGTAAACAGTTCAGACTCAGGCATTTCTCATTGGGAGTCACGTTTCTTCATGCTGTCTCATGTGCAAATCCCACTTGAAAAAAGGCTGCCTGCTTTCAATCAAACACGAGGCTGAATTGAAATGAAACATTTAATTACATTTTGAACCCCACTGCGCCTCCCATCACTGTGGCGAACCCCACACAGCGACAGCTGCCGTTTTAGTGAGATGGTTCAAATTGGAATCATTATTTCCTCATTTATTTTTTTCTAATTAGTTTACCACTACTGAAGCTCTTAAATTCCCTAATGGCATATTCTGCGAGTAAGCCTATTAGCCAAGTCATGCAAAAGTAGACATAGAACTGTAAAAGATTTCAGTTTAATTCTCAGATGACACTTACCTCAGTCGACTTCATCAGCTTGGAAAACAAATCTGCTCACAGATGCAGAAAATCATAAGATTACTGGAAAGCAAAGATCATCCTGACTCCCCACAACTAAACCTCCTTTTGGGAGTTCTTCTGTTTCTGTCTCTTCCTCTAAAGTTTGATATATATATGTCAGAGTTCCCTCCACATACACACACACACACACACAGAGAAAAAAGCATACACTAAGACCCTCCTTTTTCTCGTTGTCAAACCAGACCACCCCAGCGGAGAGTTACAAGACCTGCAAACATCAACCTCCCCCCACCGCAAACATATACACCTCCCGAGAGACACAATAACACCCCACACCCCATTGCTGCTGCCCAACAAACAGAGCAGAGACACACAAGCGGGATCCCTCTCCCTTTAGGCTGCTGGAATTCTCCAGACAGACCCCCGCCCCCCGACCCCTTCCACATGCATCAACAGCACATAATCATGCGCAAACACAAACAAACACTCTTTGACTTCAGTGAGTCACATATTCAGACACACAGTGTATACAGTAGTCAAATATCACAACCTACAAAGTGGACAAATAATAGCCTTCCCGTTCCAAGTGAGCCCCAAAACGTCAGAGAGAAATAAAAGCCCTCGTGAGTACGACTAAAGGCCCCGTGAACCAGTGACCAGAGCAGAACACAGCAGAGCAAACGAAGGCAGAACGTTTGTTGGTGAAAGTGGTTCCCATCCCACAGAGGCTTTAGTTTCTGCCTTAATGTCGATTTACTGTAAAATAAAGAACAGAAACGGCTAATTCTATTTCTGAGACCCCACCTCAGCCATGGTTTGTTTTACTGAAGGCTGTACAACTTATGTGAAACTTATACAACTATACTGAATTTGAAAACCTTGATGAGATAGATTGAACATAAACACATAAAAAAAACATAAATGTACATATATCTTCTTCTACTCCATAGGAAAAATATGTGGATTACTTTTACTGACTACACTGAACACACTGATTCTGAAGTTAACTGAGGTAAAAAGAGCTACAGCCTTGTATTTTTGTTTGTTTTAAGTACTGTATCCCAGCCATCTTAAGAGCTGAATCTAAAACCGGATGGTACAGGGATGGGTTGATGGATGACAGGGCACTGTTGGGTCAGGATGGGGTTCCAGTGTAAATAATGATGATGCTCACATGGTAAACAGGAAGAGTTTGTTTCCCCAGAGTTCATGCTGCCACCAACCTGTTGTTATGGGAACAGATGGCTCAGAGACGCATTCCACAGTCTTTTCTCTCGCCTGAAAAACAAAACTTTACTTGCACAGAACAAAATAAAGGAAGAGTAAATAGAACCGTTTCCTCTCCCTTTCCATGAAGAACACAGCAGACTGAGAAGGACAATGGAAAGCAATAGGGGCTCTTTTAACAATACTAGGTCAGAATCAACATGCAATTTCAGGTGCACAACTTAAAAGTCTGCATATGCTGAATGTTATAATCAGATTGGGAAAAGCAAATGGGAATCATCAGAAAGCTCAGATTTAATCTGAGTTGTCACAGCAAGAAGGGATGTCGTAACTTGCCTTTATTTTATTCTTTAAAAAAAATCTATTAATCTATTTAGGGGCCACTTGCAATCTGACACTGCTGAGATGGTTGGCATCTTGACTCCTACACAATTTTATATTTCCATTTGTTCCATTTTTTCCAGGGTCCACAGAAATTGGCTGAGGATGGACCTTGGTCTTCTTGTCATTGCAGTCTTAAACTGCCCTCTTTGAAGCTATGGCAGAAACAAGAAGAATGTATCTGGAGAGATTATACCTGCTGAAAATGACTACTTAATTAAAAAAGAGGTACACATAACATAACATATGCTTTAATACCATTGGTCTGGTTAAATATATGTGTAAGGTTTGTACCCAGGGCAATGGGACTGTTAAGAAATTTGGTTTAATCTTCATTAAAAACTGATTGAATAAAAAGTTAAAGAATCTATTGTCAGATACACTATATTGCCAAAAGTATTTGCTCACCTGCCTTGACTCACATATGAGCTTAAGTGACATCCCGTTCCTAATCCATAGGGTTCAATATGACGTCGGTCCACCCTTTGCAGCTAGAACAGCTTCAACTCTTCTGGGAAGGCTGTCCACAAGGTTTAGGAGTGTGTTTATGGGAATTTTTGACCATTCTTCCAGAAGCGCATTTGTGAGGTCGCACACTGATGTTGGACGAGAAGGCCTGGCTCTCAGTCTCCGCTCTAATTCATCCCAAAGGTGTTCTATCGGGTTGAGGTCAGGACTCTGTGCAGGCCAGTCAAGTTCATCCACACCAGACTCTGTCATCCATGTCTTTATGGACCTTGCTTTGTGCACTGGTGCACAGTCATGTTGGAAGAGGAAGGGGCCAGCTCCAAACTGTTCCCACAAAGTTGGGAGCATGGAATTGTCCAAAATGTCTTGGTATGCTGAAGCATTCAGAGTTCCTTTCACTGGAACTAAGGGGCCAAGCCCAGCTCCTGAAAAACAACCCCACACCATAATCCCCCCTCCACCAAACTTTACACTTGGCACAATCAAGTCAGACAAGTACCGTTCTCCTGGCAACCGCCAAACCCAGACCCGTCCATCAGATTGCCAGATGGAGAAGCGCGATTCGTCACTCCAGAGAACGCGTCTCCACTGCTCTAGAGTCCAGTGGCGGCGTGCTTTACACCACCGCATCCGACGCTTTGCATTGCACTTGGTGATGTATGGCTTGGATGCAGCTGCTCGACCATGGAAACCCATTCCATGAAGCTCTCTGCGCACTGTTCTTGAGCTAATCTGAAGGCCACATGAAGTTTGGAGGTCTGTAGTGATTGACTCTGCAGAAAGTTGGCGACCTCTTCGCACTATGCGCGTCAGCATCCGCTGACCCCGCTCCGTCAGTTTACGTGGCCTACCACTTCGTGGCTGAGTTGCTGTCGTTCCCAAACACTTCCATTTTCTTATAATACAGCTGACAGTTGACTGTGGAATATTTGGGAGCGAGGAAATTTCACGACTGGATTTGTTGCACAGGTGGCATCCTATCACAGTTCCACGCTGGAATTCACTGAGCTCCTGAGAGCGACCCATTCTTTCACAAATGTTTGTAAAAACAGTCTGCATGCCTAGGTGCTTGAATTTATACACCTGTGGCCATGGAAGTGATTGGAACACCTGATTCCGATAATTTGGATGGGTGAGCAAATACTTTTGGCAATATAGTGTATGTCTACTTACAAACAAAACAACTAAAAAACGCATTTGCTTCACACTGTAGTCTTAATTCCCCAAACATTTTAAAGTTAATTTCATAGTATTTTAGATGTTTAAATAAGAGAAAATATCAGAGCTGTTGATTGCCGACTGCAGATGTGCATCCAGCTGCTGATAAATTACAGCAAGGCAAGAAAAAAACCTGTGACAAAGGCTGGGCCTGCCGGCTGCTTTTCAGACAGGGCGATGGTTTGCCTATTTGAAAAGGGACCGAGATAAGAATTTGCATGATATGCCTGGTAAGAGGCACATAGCAGGCGAGGGGCACGGCAGTGTTGGGGATCACACGCTCTGTGGAGACCTGCCGAGGGGATTTCATCATGTCGGCCTACAAAGCAGACGGGACGCTGGCGTGCCTCCTCCTGGCCGTGCTGGTGGGCGCGGAGGTGCAGGAGACCATCTCGCCGGAGTGCAAGCAGTTCCTGTACATGGGGACGCTGCCGCGGGGGCTGGAGGAGCAGCCCTTCAAGAAGATCTGCCAGTTCTACGCCGGCAGGCCGCGGTTCTTCACCCTCTACGACCCCGTCGGCCACATCCCCGTCTACTCCGCCTACACCTTCAAGCGCTCGGACGGCTCCAAGAAGATGGATGTGCCCTGGATGTATGAGCCGCAGGTAGGTGTAGTTTAGTTTAGTTTTATTAGGATTCCCATTAGCTGCCAAATAAATGGCCACTAGTCTTCCTGGGGTCCTCACATGAAGAAATTATATTGCATTATGAACAAATCATAAAAAATAAAAATAAACATCACAGTTGGAAATAATAAAAACGTAAACAAGAGTAGAACTATACAACATATATACACAGGTCAGTTCATCATATCATCTGCAGTAGTTCTGAAGACAGTATATTTTTTAAGCTTGTTCTGTTCTGAACTCTTCGTGTGGTTATTGGCAGTTGGTTCCAGTGAAATATGGCTCTATAATGCACTGTGGATTTTAGAGAGTTTGTTCTGGGTCGAGGGAGTTTAAAGTCTCCGCCTCGTGCCCGCCTTGTTAAGTAATTATGATTTTGTTCAACAAGGACTAAATGTTCAGAAAAAAATAAGGGCTGTCTTTGTAAAGAAAACATTCCATATAAATAAGAGAAGTCTTAATTTAAGTTTATAAGTTACTGTTAACCATGAAAGCCGTCTATGCATTGAAGCCGCAGGTAGGTGGGGCTGTGTGTGTGTGTGTGTGTCTCATCCCAGTAGGATGAAATAAAGCAGACGGATACATTTTTACTATCGTTTTGTCCCCCAACGTGTGACCCGACAGCTCTCTCTGGTGTCCGGCTCCAGAGAGATGCAGCAGTTCCCCTCGGAGCACGTCCACAAGAGCTTCGAGGACTCCCAGGCCGTGCTGGAGGACTACTCCGACACCGTGATCTTTGAGCGCGGCCAGCTGAACCCCGACGAGCACCAGGCCGACCCGGACGACAAGGCCGCCACCTACACGCTGACCAACGTGGTGCCCCAGGCCCGGGAGTTCAACGTGGGGCCCTGGAACCAGCACGAGCACGCCGTGCGCAGGAGGCTTAACAACTACTGCCGGGGCACCGCCTTCGTGGTCACCGGGGTCACCGCCTCGGGCCACGCCATCCGCCGGCGGAACGTGGACCGCCTGGGCATCCCCACCTACCTGTGGTCGGCCTACTGCTGCGCCGACTTCGACCGCAACGCCCCGTTCGCCGAGCGCTCCAAGTTCCCCGCCTTCGCCGCCCACGGCCTCAACGACGGGGAGAACAACCGGGTCCAGGAGATGACGGTGCGGCAGCTGGAGGACTTCCTGAAGCGGGTGACTTACGTGGGCGCCTCCTTCCAGATATTCTACGACAACTGCGTGCCTCCCAGCAGCGCGGCGGATTCGCCCTGAGGAGCAAAACCCGGGCCCACTCTCGGATGGGGTAGAGGTGATGATGATGGTCATGGTTAAATATTGGCAGCTGAAATAACATTAAAGAGAAAAAGCATTTTCCCCCCCCCGAGAGGCTGTCGTTTCTCTCCACTAACACCCAGAGTTACTTAATGTTTGAACTAAGTTTTAATCTGTTAGTGAAGGCTATTTATACACAAGTTATCAATTGAAAACGGATGGTTGAAAAAACTCTTTAAACCCTTGAGTATATTTAGTCAATAAGTATATGTGTGATAGTCTTCCATTCTACCTTAACATATTGAAGTATTGCTTCTATTCTGTCTGTGACGATGCATTCACGAGCTTTGGTTATACACAAATGCATGATAAACGCACACCAAGCGGTTGTACTCTCCGTTCTCTTTATCTCATGCCAACTGATGCACTACAGCTACTGGTAATGACACCTGCCTCTGAAGGCCTTTTGTTCAACACAGCCTGATTAGACCTGAGTTTTACATGTTTGTAGCTAAAGCAATATATCCTCCCAGACTTTCAGTCAGACGTAGCTTATTTTCCTTCTCTTTTAAAGTTTGTTCAGACCATTTCTTTCAATATCCAAGTCTCCAACTGTGACATTAAGTGGATTAGAAAAGATTCCATTAGATAAAACTACATTTGATGTGGAAAATCTATCTTAAAAATGGTCCCTCTGGTTTTGTTTTGGTTCTACAAATCAAACGTGATGGCTATTAAACATAAAAAACCGAGCGAGCGTCCATCCAAATGGAGGAGACGGTACTGGAGGAGCTCAGTGACCACACTTGGTCTGTGAGAGCAGCAGTATCCTGCCAGCTGGCACGCGCCATCCCGCCAGATGGTCAGCTCAACGGTGCCCATTCTGACCATCAACATGCTGATGAGAGCCCAAAAATGCAAAAGCTGAAAGATATTAATGTGATGACCAGCAGAGGGGGACAGTGAGGGTAATAAATATCACATTTTGTAACTAAACATACTTGCAGGAAACTATTGAAAGGTAGAAAATGAATTCCTATATTAAACAAGTGACTCTACTTGGACCTTTTCATACATAGAAATAAACTAATTGAACCCTTCTTTAATGACGTTGACAACCACAGACACCATCAGCATATTTACCGTGACCAATTTCATGTTTAATCAGGATATTTTTACAGCTCATAGCTAAAAGAAAAAAACTTTGTACGAATCTGCCGCAGTGACACTGGCGTGTACGAACACCTCAAAACTACAAGGTTTACATCAACCGTCCGACATACGGAGTCACTTCTGTAAAGAACCTTTTTAAAGTAAAAACACCATTAAAAAAAAAAAGGTTGAATAGAGATAATTGTTGCTCTTTGTATGTCAAAGAAACTACCTTAAGGTTCATAAAGAACCACGTTGCTCTTTTTCTCTCTCGTCCACGCACGCACTCGAGCAGAATATGCTAAAAAAAACACTCACAAAAGCGAGTCGTTACGGAGGCTAGCTGTGCACAGCAGTCCGGCTCATTCCTGAAAGCATTCCGGCCTTAGTTGAACCAGGTGGTGTTGAGCTGCGTCTGTTTCTTGATGCTCGTGTCCAGCTTCAGCACCTCTCTGATGGCCATGGTGGCGTAGGTCGAGGGGGGCAAGGAGAACTCCATCCGAAGGCCGCGGTACTTCCCCTCTGAGCGGAAAAATCCCCCCCCCAGAAGACACAGGTCATCCAGAGAAACGCTTCTGTTGCATTTAAAATAATTATCGCAGCTTCTCCTTTACCAAAACCAGGTGCAGATATGGACCTAAAATGAGTGGAGTTATGCTTTGACTTGTGGTCTAAATGAGGCCTGGGCTGAACTGACCTTTGTTGAAGACTGGAGCAGGTTTGTTCTCCAGCTTCTCGTAGTCGGTGTGTACCAGAGAGATCCTGGGATCGTCGTACTCAATCACCTCCCTGTAAAGCAACGGCCACAAACACAGCGGTTCCTTTAGCAGATCTGTAATGAGGCAGCGCAGTGACCACCTGAAGGAATGCCGGGAAGAGCAGCTGACCAGCTGACGTCCGAGGGTCGGATGACCACGCGTCTGTAGGCTCCGGCTAGAGAGTAGTCCTTCACTTTGTGCCTCATGTTGTCGATGTCCAGCCCGTCTGCAGACAGCAGCTCGCTGTAGCCTTTCCCAACTGACCAGAGAGGTGAAGCCGAATTATTCACCCAAGAACGACAACCCCGGTGTTCCAAACCCAATGATTTATCTTCTTTTTTTAGGAATTATTCTTAGGAATTCGACCTCAGCGTAAAGAGTTTGAGAAGACCTTTGTGGTGAGCGGCGGACACATTTCTCACAGCCAGGATTCAATGGGAGGTCTGAATTAAACTCTAATGAGAGAACCCGGGCTTACCGTGGTGAGTGGGGTAGATGACGTCAAACCCTGGGAGAGGCATCACGATGTCATGGATGGAGGCGCTGGCGGCCTCCTCTGCGGTCAGCACGTGTGCTGCCGCTTCAAAAACAGACCACAGACAAACATCAGGATGCTTGAAAAGCACTTTAGTTTAATTTTCGAGGAGTTTTCCCGGTAAAAAGCAAAATCCCATGACATCTGGTGAATTTTCAAAGACTGATTTAAACTTTTGTACATCTCATTAACAAAACAGGTTTGATTTAAAAAGAAAAAAAAGAACATTAGAAATGAGAGCTCAGACTGATCCTAACTAGAAGTAGTAAAGCAGTTTGAGGGCGTGTCTGTAAAGGGTTTAGTGGTCAGTGAGTGCATGTGCTCACTTTATAGACTTGCTTCCCTTTAAATGTGCTTTACGTTCCAAAGTGTCTTTATTGAACTTCCCATTTCTGTAAAACCTTTTGCTCATTGTATTTATTCCAGCCGCCTCATCTGGAGTAAACATCTGGAGTAAAATTAAATAACTTACTTCCTCTGAGGACCAGGTCCCCCTCCACGGCCTTCAGGCCAAAGGCATCGATCCTGCGGCTCACCATGGTGTTCCACACCACACTCTGGTAGCTGTGGATGTACATCAGCCGGTTGTTGCGAGGAATCTGAGGTAGAAAACACAAACAAACCAAAAAATAACAGATATTTTTCATAGTTTGAATGTGAAGTAAATTTGTTGTCGTTTTCCTGGCTTCATTTCGAAGCTGAATGATGGAGAACTGACCAGTCCGAAGGCGGTGATGATGTTCTTCTTGCCGTACATGGACAGGCCTCGGAGCAGCTGGCCTTCCACGCAGCGCTTGTTGGGCAGCTTCTTCAGCGCCGCCTCGGGGTCGCTAGTCTTCGCCCATTCCTCTCTGCAGCGGACCAGGAACTCTTTCTCAGCTGTAGGAAAAGACTCAATGAATTATCAGCGCGGGGGAGAAGAGAGCAACGCTGTAAATATGAGGAATGTTAAGCTGTCAACCTCCGGGTCGAGGTTTCAGAATGAGATCCACCACCTCGTTCCAGTCGTTTTTCAGAATGGCCCTGAAAAGGGGGAGACGAGACTCGCTTTCAATGCCAACTACACAATCTGCCCCGCCCTGCCATTGTGCGCGAGCATTCTACCTGCCGACTCGGTGTGTGGGCACGGCCGTGGTGCCAAAGCGCTGCATGCCGTAGTAGTTAATAAAACCCGTCTGCCTGAGGGACGTCATGGCCTGATGGACCTGCTCGTCCGTTCCTGAGATGTTCCTGAAGAGCAAATACATCAACAGAGAAAGCCAGGGGCCAATTTCATCACTAAATAATATGAACAGGATAACCTTTTTCACTTCACAAAAGGTCTTATTCCAATCAACTCTGACGGTAAATTATAGTTCATGATAAGCTCCATTTGGACCTTGATGAAAGCATAAAATGATCTTTCTTTCCCTCTTTGTGGAGAGCATTGTCAAAAATCAACCAGTATAAGCAGGAAAACACATTTTTACGACCCATTTCTTGGTAAGGAACTAACTTTTAACAGAAAATAATTTATATATTTCCAAGACAATATTGTTTGTCCCAAGATTTGTGTTTTTTTTTTGTTTTATTAGTCTCTCGACAACAGCCCACAGTTAACAGGAATACAGGATCTGAACAACAGAAATAAGAGACGACACAAACTGTGTCTTAACCCCTCTGCTGACCTGATGACCACCGTGAAATGGTTGCCCTGCAGCTCCCCCAGCTTCAGAGGATGGTTTTTGTAGCAGAAGTTTCCAAGCTTAAGGTTCATGAGGCACTTATTGAGATGGGCCAACCTCTCCGCCGTGATTCTAGGAGAACGGGAGAAAATGCCAACTTATTAAGTCACCTCACACAACAAAGCAGAACCGAGAAACATCTATCTGATGACTTTTATGACTGTGGTGACTTTCTGAAAGCCTTGGTGACTCACTTGAGCACTGCTATCTCCTGCACGGTGATCGCCCTCTTGTCCTTTGTTCCCATGTAGGAGAACATATTAGGTCTCAGCCTGGAGGGAGAAGCACCATCATCCACGTGACACATTTTCTGCGGGACGCTTCAACACACTTCTCAGAAACTCCTCTTCCTGCTTTGTCTTTAAACGGTGGTTACTTACAACAAACAAATCTAATTAAAAAAACGCCACATCCACACCTGAGAAACTTGGAGAGGACATTAATGGCGTCCATGGTGTCTTTGTTCTCTTTGTACAGGACAAAGTGGCAGAAGCTGCCACGGTTCTTCGGCCAAAAGTGTTTCCTTGGAGCTTTTGCAGAGACAGAAAGAAAACAAATAGTGATTAGAAAGAAAGAGTGGAGAAAAACAAACTTTCCAGATATACCAAATACTTCAATAATCCCCTTGAATTTTTCAGGAATATCCTGAACTGATCCAAAGATTTCATATGTTTCAACACATCTGTTTCCGTTTTTAAAACGACAACAGATGCAGTCCTTATAGAAGCCACCAACAAATACATCTAATATTATTTAGAATTGGTCAAACAAAAAATTTGGAGCAGATTTAATTAGGACGCGTAAATCCATCAGGTTTTAATTGGTCCCTCTTTGCGTTGTGGAGAATCAGTTCTTACCTGCAGATGTTTTGACTTCTGTCCATACGAGAAGAGCAAAAGGGGGATAGAATAATGTTACTGAGAAAGAGATTCTTAAATCTGAAGGGAGTAGGCAGCTGTGAGATCTCATGCATGGCCTGAGAGCAGAGTGCCGTATCTAAATGATTTGATGAGCTCTGATGTCTCTAAAACTGTCAAAGAAACATCAGAGCATTCTGCCGAACCTAAAGGGCGATCCACAGCCAAAACGAACCACTTTGAGTCCAATCTGGAGCAGAATCATGCAGGTGGGTTGACATGCATATGCACGGGTGCATGCATAGCAACTACTGCAATGTAGCAGTTCAGATATATAAGGAGTAGTGATGGGAACATGCAGTCACCCGTTTCTCTCACGAGAAACTTTTCAATCCAAAATTTTGTCCTGAAAGTTGAACTCCGAGATCAGAGTCGTTTCCTCTCCACATACCCGCTAAAGCCTTCTTCCCGGCCACGTGGTAAGCCACTATGAACTTGCGCCCGTCTTTCTCCTCTGTCTTGGTTTCCACTCCCGGATACTGAGTCTTGATGGCTTTGTGGACAAGCGTCCGTTTCTCTTTGGTATCATCCACCACCTAAACACGACGGCCAGATGAGCAGAAACAAAACAAAAGTTTCAAAAAGGTTTGAGGCAGGGTGCTTTAGAATTTCAGGAGGCTGCAGTCCTCTAAACCCACCTCAATGGAGACATTCTCTTCCTTATTTTTGAAGAGCTGCAGCTCACTGAGCTGCTTTTTCTGTTCCTCTGTTAGAACATCATAATCTTTCTCGGGCTCTGGGACTTCCTAACAGTAGACAAAATGCACATGAACAAATCTATGAAAGGCTCATAACTAAATCAAAACGTTTAAACCAATTCTGGTTGATTTACATGTCAGGAAAGGTTTTACAGTAAACAAGACTCAAAATTGTCCTTACCTCAGTGTCTGCAGGAATAGATAGGTCATCGAAATGCACCACCTTGCCTTGTTTGTTGATTTCATGTACAACAAAATCTGAGTATCTGAATATAAACAACAAAAACCAATCCCGCAATCAATACACATCTTCAATTCAATATATGGAAATCCTCTATTAACCTCAGCGGACCAGGCAAACCTTTCTTTCAGAATTCCCGAGAAGCCCTGATGGTCACTGATATACTTTAGGATGCCCACATCCACTTCAGTCAGGCCATGCTTCATCATGTTAGCAAAGGTATCGCCATCCTCTTCATCATCTGCCTCCCCTTCAAGATCCTCATCTTGGTTGGAGGCACCTCCATTTTCGAGATCAGTCTCTAGTTTTAGCTTTTTTGACTGAGTGTTTTCCACCTCATCCCCTGGGCAGGTTCTCTTCTCTCCAACCTCGACAGAGAGAGGCGCAGGCTCTGATTCAGCCATCCAACTGAAACTAGGATGACGGAGGGAAATAACAAAATGTTTAGTTTTGCAGGCAGTTAGAAAGTTCAGAGGATGCAGCTTAGTCAACCCTTTGTTTACTCAAAGAAACGAATTTTATTTATTCAAGGAGCATGAACATATGTGTGAATATGAAAAAACATTTAAGGTGAATAAACAAGTTTAAAGATATCAAGCTGCACCTGATATTATTTTAGCGTTTTGAGCCCCAGCACATTAAGCAGAGTAACCATAGCGATAAATATAATTAACCATTAACTCAACATCTCCCAATGGTTAAATATATCTGTAAAGACTAAGGCGTACAATGCAAATCAACATAGCAGGACTAACTATATCAATAAGAAAATGATGACTTACTGTATGTGGGGCTTAGCAACAACAACTGGGTTAAATAACCGTCTGTGTATTTCAGAAATATTTCGTATATTCCACCCGTCAAACACACGCACCGATTTCCTGACCGATGCAAGACGGAAACATGCCCTAAAGCACAGAAACAAAATATCATAAAGAACTTTGAAAAAACAGCTAGCATAACAAACTAGCTAACACCAACAGCTAAAATGAACGGTTAAAACACAAAAACTAAAATTGTATTGTTTAAAATCAAACACACAGAATCAACAACAAAATAAGTTGGTTTTTTTTTTTTTTCCATCCCAAAGTCCTACTAAACCCACAGGCATCTGGTGATATTCAGTACAGACCAGACACCACTGTACGCCAGTTTTCCCCACACGTGTGTTAGTGGTTCCGGAAATAATCTTATGTTGTGCCCTCCCTCCTGCAGACATTTGGTGAAAGACCTGTCAATCACGAATAGCCGCTGCGTTCAAGTCATAGGGATAGAATATGAAATGCAAAAATTCTCAATTTTTTGTGGGCTTTCAGACTAATACTGTACATTAAATCTGGAAATATTGTACCTTGAATATCAGTTACTTTCATATAGGTTGAGTTATGCATTTGTTACTTTGCACGACCGAATCAACCGCTTTTGAAATATAATTATTACGTGGCCAATTCTCGTTTTCGTATGGCAAAATATTTGTAAAACATATTGTAAAAATTACAAGTGGGTCTTCGCCCAGGGTAATTTCTATGCTTTACTGTAAAGTCCAAACCAAGAACGGTTGACACAGGCGCTAGGGGAAATTATAAATGTTGTACAAACGTTTTCAAATGTTGCAGTGCTATGGGAAGATGATTGTGCCATGAAAATCGGGCATTTTCCGGGGCTGTTAACGGCGCCGTGGCTTAGTTGGTTAAAGCGCCTGTCTAGTAAACAGGAGATCCTGGGTTCGAATCCCAGCGGTGCCTTTTCTGCAACACGGTGGACAAGTGACATTAACCTATAAACATATCTGTAAAGATAAGGATCTTGAATTAAAAGACCAGAGTTCATATTTAGCGCAGCCATAAACAACAACAAAAGAAAACAAATCAGAAAATTACCCATGTGATTTTAACTTTCTCTAATAAAACAATTCTAAATCTATATACAAATTTGGCTGAGATTAAACCTGGTTGAACATTGAATCATTAAGCCACATGGTTCAAAAGTTGTTTGCAGCTGCAGAACCCTGCTGGATGTCCCTTTTTTTCATAGTAAGCCATCCACAACCATCATGTAATCCATAAAGTTATAGAATAAATGAGTCCAGGGACTCAAGGAAACGTTGGAGTTGAGGTCAGATTAATCATTCTAAGGTGACATTTGAAGTGGCTTTTTTTAGGGGATGAGTCATAACTGCTAATACAACAACAGAAAAACTATAAAACAAATTACAAAGAAGCAGCATCTTGAGGACTACCAGAGACACGCCGCTGGATGTATGTATCACAGCTTATTTATTTCTAAATAACAAAAACAGTTTACAATACTGAATTCATGTGCTAGTTGTTCAGTTTGAACTATTTTAATTAATCAAATACAAACATCTGTTCAGATATATTTTTTTCAATGGTTAAAACTTTGATTTACAAAACCACAGATGACACAAACCCACAAAAGGTACCCCCCCCCCCCTCTCTTTCTCTGTTTCAATGATCCACCGGGAATCCGAACGCTCGCCCGCACGCGACTCCCCCCTCCAACGGTAGAGGGAGCGCGTGCCATCCCTAGGCGGAGGACGGTGGCGACTGAATGAGTGAGTGAAGGGGGAGTGAGAGAAGGGGGGAGCTTCTGCCGCCGCGCTGCCCGCTCCTGCCGAGGGGAAGAGGAGGAAACATGAGCTCCAGGAAAGGTGCGTATCTCCCAGCCTCCGGTCTGCTCCGCTTCTGTCCGCGTTTACCGCGGGAAGCGGGCGGAAGTTACCGGTCGGCACGCAGCCCCTACCGGGGACATGCTAGCCCGGTGCTACGCGACCGATGCCAGCCCGGTTCTAAAGCCTAATGATGGTCTCCGTGTGCTCTCCCTCTCTCCCCCCCACCCCCCCCTCGTCCCCTCGTCCCTCCTACACCCCGACGCCGGACTCCGTTTCTACCCATGAATGAACGTAAACTCCGGCCAACAGTGATGGCAATCCAGGCTAGAAAGAGGAGGCCGAAGGGAAAGAAAGATAAAGCGGGTCACCATCGGAGGTAAGCGGGAGGAGGAGGAGGGGGGGGCGGGCACCGGCGGCTGCTGAGCCGCGGAGCGGGCGGCGATAGGCTGGGCACGGAGTGTTGTGCCGGGGATTTGAGTTTTGTCTTCCCTCTCTGCGTGACACCGGCGTGCGTTGGCGTTGTGGTCAGCGGGATAGGAGCATATGGCACCGGGGATGTGCTCCCATCCACGCAGCCTCAACCAAGTTGCCTCAAACGGCGAGGCTTGTCTGGATGATTTAGTCCTCACCCTAATAATCCAACCGTACGCCACCTAAGTCCCCGACTTGGTTTTTCCTCCACCAACGCTAACAGCCCCGCTCTTAATAGCCTCTTGGCTTTTTTTTTCTCCTTTTCTTTTTGGCTAACGGTGGGTTCAAAGGTCGGGCTGCCCGCCCATCTCTCCGCTCCGTTACACGGCAGCACCAGACCGGAGAAACGCCTCCCTAAAAAACCGTCTGTCTGAGAACCTCTCGCATGGTGTTATGTAACTTTTCCCCGGGTCTGTGACAGCATTGTTTCGTGTCCTGTGACATGTTTTCGCTTGAGTGGTTCCACAAAAAAATAATTAAACCGACCCCGGTGTGTTTCGGCCCCGGTGGATGCTCCCGGCTCCCCTGGTGCGGAGTCGGGGGTTTTTCTTCATGGCGCGCCGCTATTGGAGCGACGTCACCGGCTCACCGGAGACTTGCTCCGGTGAGGTGACACCTCACCCCGGGGTGCTGCTGGAAGCTGCTGGAATTCTGGAGCACTTGCAGACTCAGATGGTTTCTGTGCACGTCCGTGCACTCATAGAACCAGTTTACACACCAAGGCATCATATTATGGGCTCTCTGTTTCATGGAGCTGTGGGTCAAGTAAAAAAAGGACCATAATGTTTTGATGCCCTTTTAGGGATACCAGCTTACTTCTTATTCATGGCTAATTCATGACATTAATGTTTAGTGACTGAAACAGAGATTGAAGAAACAAAATATCTTATTTGCACTTTGTGAATAAACAGTAGAAATATTTTTTATATCTTAAACCTATAACAATTTAAATGACCTGCAAAGGCTCTTTTAGAGCTACTGTAACATACATAATTATTTTGCTGCTGCAACACTTATAGCCCCCCCACACACACACACACTCACACACAGTTTGCAACATGCAGTATGCAGACTAAGGAGTTCTCAAAACAAGGAAGGGACAAATTGACCATATATATGTTTTGTTTTTAAAAATACTGACAAAAGTGTGGTGGTTAGCACCATCGCCTCACAGCAAGAAGGTTCTGGGTTCGAGTCCCCGTGGGAACCAGGACCTATCTGGGTGGAGTTTGCATGTTCTCCCTGTGTCTGTGTGGGTTCTCTCCGGGTTCTACGGCTTCCTCACACAGTCCAGAAACTTGCATGTTAGGTTGGTTTGACATTCCAAATTGCCCTCAGGAGTGAGTGTGCGTGGTTGTTTGTCCTTGTATGTATTGTGTGTGGCCCTGTGATGGACTGGGGCCCATCCAGGGTGTACCCCACCATTGACCACTGGGATAGGCTCCCGTTCCCCAGCGGTTATGATAATGGATGGATGGATGGTTTTTTAACTTGTGTTCTCCTTAAATGAGCACAATTAGTCTTGTCTTTGACACTTTCCAAACATATGTACTCAGGTAAGATGGGACTAAAACTGAGCTTTTCAGCCATGCAAAACAACACATTGGACACAAATCCATTACTCAGAAAAGGCCATCCCCAGCTCAGTGGTGGCAGCATCATCCTGTGGTGAGGTGTGTGAACGGCAGCACTTGAAAAGAGCTTCAGACTCACACAGACAAATGGGCTAAATCAGGGGAAAGTCTTGAAGAAAACCTCTTTCCGATCCTCCAAAATCTTAAAACAGGAAGATATTCATACTTTTTTCAGGTAATCTTTCTTTTTAATATGTCGTCTGTGTTGTTTTTTTACTCAGTTAAAAGTGGGTTGCACTAGGCATGCTAGGAACCCCCCAAAACCTAGTCCAACCAGAGGCTGTAATGCAGTCATAACTAGCATCGGATTGGTGTGTAAAGGCCAAGAGAAAAATGACGCTTCTTGTATAGTGCCGGTTAGTGCAATGAGTGTGTGTTAGAGTGGTTAAGGTGACTGCAGAGGTGTGTGCATGGCAGCCACCATTGTTTTCCTGTGGGGTGTGCCATTTTTGCATCGACTGCTGTTTAAATGCTATTTAAGGTTCTACAAAGTGAGATAATGCTCGGCCATATACAAACCGTACTGTGGTAATGTACCACAAAGGCTTTGCTGGGTAATTATTGAGGTTTAAATGTGGGGGATTCACATGCATTTGGAAAAGGCAAAGCAAACAGTCTGAAACCCTGCCACATCCTCCCCTCTTCCATTCGGGGTGAGGTGAGGGGAATGGTGACGAGACAACGCTGATGAGGCACTTAGAGGATGTCATTTGAGAATGGACTGGTGTCTACCCTTTAGAACAAAACAGTTATGGCTGACTGGCTAAAGCCCAAACAGGGCTTCTGGTCGGAATATTTATCAAACAGAACTGGGGCATGTGTTATGAAACAGATCTCACACATCCGATGGTCTGCCTACTGTTCAGAGCCAAACTATTTTGAGGAGAAGTTGCTTACTCATGAGTCTTCACATGCTTGTTTGCCCAGTAAATGAGGCCTCAGGTCCGCCGAGCTGCCGAATCCCAGAAGAGCAGCAGCGGTTTTGCCCGGCCCATCAGAGCATTTTTATCATTCCGCGTCCAATAGATAAGTCAGATATTCATCTATCCAACCACTCTTCTTTTAATCTGTTTATTCCTCGCACACGCAAACGCACTCTCACAGTCTTCGGCCTTCATTATGAAGCATTGTTTTCCTCTCTGATTTAAAGTCGTCGGCTCTAAGATTTCAGAAACCACAAGCAGTTCCTGCACACACACGATCCGATGCAGTTTTGTCTGGCTTTGATGTCTTCTGATTCAAACAGGTTCACCTGCTCAAGTTAATTAAAAAACACACACACATACACACAAAGACAGAACGGGGTGTGTACCTGCTTTTTAAAAGCCCCATTGCATTTACAACAAAAGCATTTCAGAGGATCATATTTAAAACAAGCGCCTTTGTCAGGCCTAATTCTTAAATGTTGGATGTTTTCATGCAGATTCTTTTCGCCTCAGACTAACTTGTCACACACTAAAATGCTTTTTCTGCA